AGATTGGGATTGGGTTTGGAATTGGGCTTTGGTTTGGTTTGGTGTGGGTTTGTGTTTGGGTCTGCCCGTAGGCCTTTTTTGTTAATGTCTGCCGCAATGTGGCGTTAAGTGAATGAAAAAAGTTGCGCTGCTGTTTTTAATTCAACTGTAAATTGAAAATTTTAAACGGACTCATTGCAGCATCGCCGTCCCAGCTGCCGTTGACGTAGGCTCATTAAAACGTGCGGGCAAATGTACAAGAGAGGCGGGGCCGGGCGGATGCGGGAGTCGAGAACGAATAGGTTGCCGAAAAAGCAAATTGGGTCACGCTGCAGGTTGGCAGCGGGCATAAAACAGCAAGAAAAAAAATCAGCTCAAAAATTGCTTAAATAAATAAAAGAGCAGCTGAAGGGTGTGGGTGTGTACTCTATGAGTGTGTCTGTGTAAAATGTGGAGCAAAATCATAGAAGCATAATAAGAATTTACATACATACTCGTATATACTTATATAAAAATATAAGTAATTACAAAAAGTACGAGTTTTGTGAAACAAAATTTGAGAAATACTCGCAGGTTGCAATGTTAGAAGTTGTGCAACCATTTCATATATTTTTCAGTCTTTATAGTGTTTCATTTAATGGCCAACACTATATTTAGTTTAGAAATGTGCAACTGAAGGTATATCCTTCGTCGGTATATGATTATATAAATAGATTATCGTTCCAGATTCAATTTATATTTGACTTTTAAATTTAAAAAAGAAAAACATTGATATACTTGCATTAATTTGCAGCTTTTTTTTATAAGTCTACAGTTAGGGAAAGCGAAATTTGAATTGATCATATACAACTAAACCTAAAAGTCGTTGACCATTCTAAGAAGTACTCATCTCAAATATTTGTTTCCAATTTAGAGTAGTGAGGCCTTAGTTTTAGTTGAAAGCTAACTAAACAACAATTCACGCATCTAAAACATTTCAAAAGCATTAAAAGTACACATTCTCTACATTCTTCTATTAATTCCACTAACTAAAGAGCAAGGCTTTTCACACTGACAAAAGCAATACCTTTTCTCTATTAACTATTGCTTCCCATCGGGTTGTATGCGTTAATATCCAACTAAAGCTGTAACAAAAAGCCACGAAACTCTTCCTCCTCTTCCTGCACCTTTGCACTCCATTGAAAAGTTGTAAAAAGTTATCAGACGCGCGTGTACTACTATATTTGCTTTTCAAATTTGTATGAGCTCCGGGTAACATAAAACGCAATCAAAAATCACTTGGCACCCACACACAGCTCCATCAGCAACAAAATGCCACAAAAATAGTATTACAAAAAAATAATAATAATAATAAAATAAAAAAATCGACCAAAACATAGTGTAAACAAAGGCAACAAAACCACTAGAATTGCATGCATGTGCATTGAAAAGCCGCAATTGCATTTACATTACACGATCCTACAAAGTTTTAACACATTTGTGAATTCGAATTTCGACACACAGCTCAATTGCCACCCGTGGCGAGCCGACGTCTGCGGCCAGCATCAGATTCAGATACATATACAGATACATATGACCATGTGTTTGTACATATTTAGATAAAAATCGATGCAAGTGTACATATGTACATGTATTTGTACGAGTATGTGGAGGTATTGAGAGCACAGCCGACGCGACTCATATCGAATCGCACTTAATTAATTTTACAGCAGCTCCGAGAAAGAACTAATCGGACTAATCGTCTAATCGCCTATAATCGACCGCCTGCCTTGATGAGAAGGAACCTTGCACAATTTTCCGGGGATGGGGGGGGGGGGGGACACAAACGTGGAGGCAATTGCACGTAAAAACAATAGATAGAAATGGGTTCGTTCTTTCCAAATTTTTGTTTTGTTTTTATTGCGCATACAGGAAACACGCACTAAGAACACAAAAAAAATGAAAATACAGAAAAATAAAACACGAAGAAGGAAATGAAGAAGCGTAGGCAAGCAAACAAACTGCCTTGACAGCGGGTGGCGATTAAATGGGCAGAGGCGTTGCCTGTTAATCTGCCGCCGCATTGCTTGCAACATTTAGCAGCGATGCTGCCACGCCTCCATACAAGATGCGTGCAATTACACGTCGTGCCACATCGCTGCATAAATGTCGACGCATTTCTTTGCTTTCTACACGTACACGCGGCTCTTTTAGGCGTAATTAAAATTACTCGACTGCAAGAAGAGCTGGGTGCTCGCACACCCACACCCCCACACCTCATCCCACCCACAGCCCCAACACACCTACACATTTGGCCCAGGGGCATAGCACAGGCAATGTTTATGCTACAAAATGTTCCGTGTAAACAAGCACCTAGAACAGAGCTTGCAATCTGCAGCCTCTTCCTGGTCGAGGATTTTTTTGCATTGAAATGCGTCATGATTGCGAGGATGATGATGACGATGAAGTGATGCCGATGGTGGCAGTATTTTGAACTCCAACATTTCTCACATCTGCATTTCGACATACCCTTTAGAGAAGGTTATGTGAATCTGTGGCGAATTATAGCCATTTGATTTTATATGCATTATTAGCAAAGGAAGCATAGAACATAACTTAATTAAACAGCATGTTCTTTATACGCATTTGTTTTCTATAAGAATTAAACAAAAGACTGCTGAGAAAAGACTGAAAAGCTGCCTTTCTCCTTGGAGAAATTCTTTTAATAAATAACAACAAATATTTGGTTGTTAATAATAGTTCCCGCTACCCTCACAAAGCCGCAATATTTTAAAAAGTAATTAATGTTCACAAATACACTTAATAGTTTAATATTTAAGCAGCTAAGCTCTTAACCCACCTTTTGTAAAGAATAATAATGTAGTTAACTATCAATTTGAATTTTTTCTATAATAATTTTTGTAGCGTATTAATATTATCGAAATCTGGCGGAAAACCAAACATCAAACTGTCCAATTTATTATTTTTGAAATTCAAATTATAGCTGCAACAAAATTTAATTATTTTTAAAACAATATTTAAACTTTGTTTTCAAAAAAATTTGTTCAAATTTGCAAATATTTATTATTTTAAGCAAGAAGCGTTTATTGATACTAAGTATATATTCATATATTCGTTAAATCAATAGCTCTGATCAAACACAATGCAAATATTACCCAATGCAATACATTATCCGATGCAAAAACAGCTCGGATAATTATCCCTAAAAATGTATTCTATATACGAGTAATATCATAAAAGTCTCATTTTAGGGGTAAGGGTTCCAAGCTGATTTCTCATTTCAAATATTTCCATGTTAAGGGTTGAACCTGATTTTAGAACAATGCTTTCATATTTTAAAGGGCATTAAAATTCCGAGCAGATTGAATCTGTTTTCCCCTACACTCTTATTCTTTGCTATTGTTGCAGTTGCCAGCCATGCTGTCTGTGGCCACCAACTGGCTTGAGTGACAGGCTGGCAATCAGTTGACGGCTCAGCACATTTCAGATTTTCGTTCTCCTGAGTGACAAATTCAATGCGCAAATGTGCGAAAAATCTGCGGACAGATGAGGGACGTGCGTTTGCCAACCGATTGTTTGTTTGTTTGTTTGCCCACAAAAATAGCACAGCAGGCATTGAATATGGCATCATTGTTCTTGATGTTGTTGTTACTGTTGTTACTCGTATGTGTTGTCGAACGATCGAGGTTGCTATATTTATGACGTGTAATTAGCTCAGATTCAGCTGCATCTGAATGTGGCAGATGACAGTGAAATATTTCACTAATGAGGTAAAAAGGAGAACTTTGCAGCAGACTGATGAAGAAATTTGTTGTTCTAAAGCATAATGATGGTAATGGATTTCTTATCATATAGCAGACACTTCATAAGTTCAAATTTAACTTTAAATTTTTGTAACATCTATAGACCAGAGTGGATCTAAGAAAGTGTAGAATTAGAAACACACCAGAACTTTTGTTTTGTCTCATTGTAAATGTTTTCCATTAATTATTTATGTCCATGAGGCTCTTGGAATATACATCCAATAGTTCGTTTTGCAGAGGTTCCAACTTTCCAAGTTCGACTGTAAAACTAATTGGACGACTTATGCATAAAGATAAGTAAATTATTGTGCAGCTTTTGACCTTCAATTTCTTACTATCCACAATAGTGTACAGTTTTGAAGCAAAAGTTCAAAAGTTATTGTAAAAATGAGAAGTAAACAAATGAGCACACACCTTGGATTGCTCGTAATCTCATGCAATGCTATTTAAAGCCGAAATATAAAAGTATTTCCTTTATCTATTATTGTCCGCCTTATTATTGACTTAAAAGAAGCGGATAGAATTAAACAATGAAATCTGGTTAATGGCATTATGTTCGGGTCGTATGGCCGGCTTAGCTAACCTGTTTTCCTTTATTATTTGCTTACAAAGCAGCGGCAAAGAGGTTGTATGCGTAAATACAACGATGCCAAGCATTTCACCATATCGTGTAATTGGAGCAGCTGCTGGAACGCCACATAGCACCAATTCCTTCCCTTTAATTAAAAATCACTTCAATATACGAGTATATTTTTGAGAAACAAAAAAAGTTGATCATAATTTTGCATCGATCCCTCTTATGGTAATCTTTGGTTTAAATAAGACGATGCTAAAACAACAACACATTGCCAATGTCTTAAGAAAATGTTGTGCTGTCTTTAAAAATTTAAGAAATATCAATGAAACATGATGCAGCTCTAGGTTTTCAGCCTTCAAAAGGGCAGAAAATACTTATGAAATTCTGGAGGGTCTGCTGGGCTTTTATAGCTGAGAAATACGAAAAACTGGCGTGGCTTATACACAAACATTTAACTGATATCTAAAATTTATGAGTGGTAGCTTTACATTGTAGTAAGAAGATAATTTGTTTTCGACGATGGATTACAGCAATTACTCATTGGCCTGATAGGAAACTTACTTTGTTTCAAAAACGAATGGTTTAACTTGTTCTATAAATACGAAGCTCACGTTACACTCAAATATAGAAAGTGGAAGCAACTGAGCCCAAGGAAGGAGAATGGTTCTAAAGTACCTAATTTTCATTTGTCTTTTAATATGCTGCTCTAGCGAATTTTCTCCTGAGCTTGCACGTATTGTCGAAGGCGAAGTTCTGGGCATTGAAAAGGTTCCATGGCAAGTGTCCTTACTGTACCAAGGAACTCATCATTGTGGTGGCGTCATCTATGATAACGAAATAATCCTTACTGCTGCGCATTGCGTAGTTGGATATTCGACTTCAAAATTAACGGTTCGCGCTGGATCTACCATTTCAATATGTGGCGGCCAACTAGTATCTGTAGCAAAGATTTTAGTTCACGAAGACTACAGTCATAGTCGGCGTACCAACGACATAGCTGTTATATTATTAAAAGATAGGCTTTCTTTCAATAACGCTGTTCATGCCATAAAACTTGCCAGAAGCAGTCCTGCCCATGGCGTAATTGCTTTCGTCTCCGGTTGGGGTGCGCTCGATGAATGTAGAGAGCAGCGCTCGGATCACCTGCGGGGCACTCAACTAAAAATTGTTGGACGTGAGCAGTGTGCCTCGGAATCGTACGGTTACGGCGAAATGGCTGCCATCGATACAATTTGTACCTATGCTCCTGGAAAAAGTCCTAACGGAGGCGACTCTGGAGGGCCACTGGTTTATAAAAACGAACTTGTTGGCCTTGTGTCGTGGGGTATTGGATGTGGCCGAGAGGAATATCCGGGAATTTTTGCGGATGTGGCTTACCATCGAGAGTGGATTTTGAACGCAATTCAAAGGGTTCGAAATTTGAAGATAAATCAAATTTAAATTAAATTTAAAGATACTTCCGTTTCAAGAAATAAAAACTAAAAATCAAGTTTCTAATTGCTTTTGAAAGGTTTTAAAGTGCTTGACAATTACTTATTAAATACAAATAAATCTTATCCTATCTTATCATAGATGGTTCACAAAATAAAAATTCGTTTATTTGATAAATAATTGTAGATTATGTTGATCCACACTGAGCAGTTTATCGGATGCTGAAAGCATTTAAAGACCCTGAAGAAATCTTTTAAGAATGAAAACATTTTAGCCCCTATTTTAAATAAAGCGAGCCGATTGAATAAAAACTCAACTGAAATTTACACGTACTTATAGTATATTGACGGCCGGCAGAAACTTCGTATTAGAAAAAGAATACAAGATAAATCGATTTTTTTTTTAATTCGCCCAACTTCTCATTTTTTTAAAATATGAATAACCTAAGGCTCATTTTCCAAGCAATTGTGTTATTAATATGCAATCTGCTCTTCGATAAACGATCAACTACACCTAACTCTGTTTTTGCACGCTGTTTTTTTACACGATTTTGATTTAACATGGTTTGAAAGTTAAAAATTGTATATATGGTTACACGACTTTATTCCATTTAGCACGATTCGAAATAACACAAAATAAATAAAACAGCTGGAAACAATTCTTATATGGGTCGTTATGTGGTTTATTAAAATAAACATAAATCCTTGTATTTTCACTGTTGAAATCAGCTTTTATACAAGGTTTTTTTTTGGAACCTATCTTCCATGTAAAAACGGAATTAGGTGTACTTCAATTTTACCATCTGCCGAATAAAAAACACCCTTTTGGATGTATATACATATGTATATGTTTTTTTAATAAAATTTGATTAAGAAACGGATTTCACAATTAAGTTGATGTTATATATTCGCCGGTCTACATGAACTGCGGCATTCCTTCTAGCGATTTAACGGCATTCTCTATCCAAGGCTTCAATGCGGCAATGTCAGCATAAAAAGTAGAGGTCAAATTAGAAGATGCTATGCCAATAAGTCTTTTATTGGAAACCAAAGGGCCGTTAATAAAGGTTACATATGAATCCTTTTGCTTAGGTATGCCGGCACATAATAAATTCTCGAACAGTTTTGGGTCCGAGTCCTTCCTGCACTCTTTTCCATCAAGAACTTTAGCTTCGGCTTGCTGTAAATATTGAATTTTTTTTTTAAATGCCCAGCTCGTAGTATTGAGCAATTGGGCAGTAACGGGTCCTTTTGATGCCAATTCGATGACACTTGCACGTGCACTGAACTTTATTGGCTTCTTCAGTTTCAAAACGGCAATATTGTTCGCTTTACCCTCGTATTCCTCGTGAAGCTTTGCTGCTTCCACAGGGATTATCGTTCCACCGCAGCCTGGCTTGGAAGAACCATAACTTATATACAAGCTCTTTGCTGGTTCCGCACTAACGCAATCTGCAGCAGTCAGGACTACGTTGCTGGAATAGATGACACCAGAACACGAGATAGGAGGAGTTGCTCTGCTAATAAAAACTAGATAGGGCGTATTTTCTATCGAAGTATCTATACGTTGTAGCTCCCCTCCAATAACTGTGAGACAGTAAGTGAACAGAAATATTTGGATATACATGTTCTACGGAGTACCTAGCTATTTACTTATGAAATTCTGGACGCCATCAGACGACTTTTATAGCTGAGAAATAGGAAAAACTGGCGTGGCTTAAACACAAATATTTAACTGATATCTAAAATTTATGAGTGGTAGCTTTACATTGTAGTAAGATGATAATTTGTTTTCGACGATGGATTGCAGCAATTACTCATTGGCCTGATAGGAAACTTACTTTGTTTCAAACTAATGGTCTAACTTGTTCTATAAATACGTTACACTCAAATATAGAATGTAGAAACAACTGAGCCCAAGGAAGGAGAATGGTTCTAAAGTACCTAATTTTCATTTGTCTTTTAATATGCTGCTCTAGCGAATTTTCTCCTGAGCTTGCACGTATTGTCGAAGGCGAAGTTCTGGGCATTGAAAAGGTTCCATGGCAAGTGTCCTTACTGTACAAAGGAACTCATTATTGTGGTGGCGTCATCTATGATAACGAAATAATCCTTACTGCTGCGCATTGCGTAGTTGGATATTCGACTTCAAAATTAACGGTTCGCGCCGGATCTACCATTTCAACATGTGGCGGCCAACTAGTATCTGTTGCAAAGATTTTATTACACGAAGACTACAGTGACAGTCGGCATTCCAACGACATAGCTGTTATATTATTAACAGATAGGCTTTCTTTCAATAACGCTGTTCAAGCCATAGAACTTGCCAGACGCAGTCCTGCCCATGGCGGAATGGCTTTTGTCTCCGGTTGGGGTGCGCTCGATGAATGTAGAGAGCAGTTCTCGGATCATCTGCGGGGCACTCAACTAAAAATTGTTGGACGTGAGCAGTGTGCCTCGGAACAGTACGGTTACGGCGAAATGGCTGCTATCGATACAATTTGTACCTATGCTCCTGGAAAAGATGCTGGCGGAGGCGACTCTGGAGGACCACTGGTTTATAAAAACGAACTTGTTGGCCTTGTTTCGTGGGGTATTGGATGTGGCCAAAACGATTATCCGGGAATTTTTGCGGATGTGGCTTACCATCGAGAGTGGATTTTGAATGCAATTCGAAGGGTTCGAAATTTGAAGATAAATCAAATTTAAATAGAATTAAAGAAACTTCCGTTTCATAAAGAAAACACCAAAAATGTATTTTCTTTTACATTTAAAAGATTTTGACAATCTTTTACCATGGATGGTTCACAAAATAAACATTCCTATAACAAACTAATGCAGATTTTGTTGATCCTCACAGACCAGTTTATCAGTTGTTGGCATCTGCCAACAATGCTGAAAGCATTTCAAGATCCTGAAGGAATATTGTTAAGATTGTAAAAATGATAGCCGCTCTTTTAAATAAAGGGAGTCGATTTAATAAAAACACAACTGAACTCTGCCTTAAAATAAATTCAAATATGTATTGAAAGCCAGGCAGAACTTCGAGCTGGATCGACTAAGCTGATATTTTATTTTAAAAAAATTTTGATTTTGGGTGTATTTACTCAATTTTTAATTTTTTTTTTTTTAATATGAATAACCTAAGGCTCATTCTCCAAGCAATTGTGTAGTCAGAGTGCAATCAACTTTTCGATTAGCGACAAACTATTTAAGTTTTACCATCTGCCGAATAAAAAACACCATCTTTGATTTATATATATGGTTTTTAATAATATTTTATTTAGAATCGGTTTTTGTAACAGCAACAAATGCTATATTTTCACAAGTCTACATGAACTGCGGCATTCCTTTTAACGATTTTACGGCATCCTCTATCCAGGGCTTTAATGCCGCAATGTCAGCATAAAATGTTTTTTTCGATGGACCGCAGCCCAAATTAGAGGATGCTATGCCAATAAGTTTGTTGTCGGCAACCAATGGTCCGCTAACATAGTTTTCGCATGGAACCCTTTCCTCAGCAATGTCGGCACATAATGTATTCTCAAAGGATCCATCCTTTGCATGTTTAAAATTTGCGTCGCACTCAGTTCCATCGAGAATTACACCGTCAGCTTGTTGTAACGAGATTTGTATGCCTTTCATTATCCAGCTCGAGGAATTAACTGCGGTGGATATAGTAGGGGATTCGGATGCCAATTCGATGTAATTGGCACGCTCGCTAAAATCTATTGGCAACTTCAAGCGCAAAACTCCTATATCATTCGCATTTTCCTCGTATTCTTCGTGTATCTGTGCTGCTGCCACGGGTATATAAGTACCCTCGCAATGTATCTTTGAAGAGCCAAGATGGACATAGAAACTTCTTGCAGGCTCATTGGCAATACAATGTGCAGAAGTTAAAATAATGTCACTTGAGTAGATAACCCCGGTACACCATCCCCAATTGGGTGAACCAAGCCACTCCAAGCTAACAAGGAAGGGTACATTTTCTATGGTTGTATCCCTTCCTCGTAAAACCACTCCTTTTTCGCCCAAGCAACAAGTGGTAACAAATGTGAGTAGAAAAAATCTAAAGAACATTTTCGCGGACGGACGTAAGAGACTTGACACAAAGTTGACTGACGGACAGAGTTTTTATGGCTCAGCAAGCAACCGAATGTTCGACAGGTTAGTACATTTTTAAGGGGCACCACGTTTCGATTTATGACACAGATAACTTAAAAAAATTTTAATTATCTGACTTAAAGTCATTTTTTTTGTTTCAATGTAAGGCAACTCCAAAAACTTTTTTTCTTTATTGTGAAAATGCGACGTTATCGTTCGAGTCTATATGTAAAATTGAAGAGGCGTTAAAATTTCTCTAATCATAATTAAGTGGAACTTAGTTAAGAAAAAGCTCTTTGTTAAAGCTTAGGCGTATGAGTTAGAAATGGATTAAGGTTTTAATTATTTAAAATTGTTTTTCTAAGCTAAACCTTTCTAAACTGGCTATATTGTAAGTTAAATTACTTACTTCGACTGAAACAGGGTTCAGCAACATTTTACTTATACACTGTAAACTTTGAAAACAGAAACCACTTTTTACGAATCATTTTGCATTTCGGTTTGAAGTTTCTTAAAAATTCATTGAGTTGCCAATCGTTAAGAAAATAATTTATGACAAAGTTGTGCAGCGAAAAAGGAGACGAAAAAATAATTGTTGATGTGAGAAGTAAATAAAAGTGCGCATACTTTTGCGGCATAATTCTTTTGAAATGATTTCATAAAATGACATTTTATGGCACCATATTTTTAGTGATTTGTGTTTGTTTGCTTTGTGTATTGTGTCCGGAATTCATTGAAGCGAAATTAATTAAACAATAAAATTTGATTAATGGCATTATGTTTATGTTATGGGTCTATGGCCATCGTCGGGCCAGTCGTTTGGCTACGTTAACCAGTTTATTTATTTACAAAACAATCGCCTACGGGTCGTATGCGCAATTACAACTACTACACTATATGCCTCAATACCCGACCATTTTATGAAATTGGAGCAGCTGCTGGTCCTTAACAGCTACGGTCCGTCCCCTGGCACCTTGGCAGCCTTTTCTGTGCTGGCCAGCCTGTTGGCACTCTCACATTCCACACGCCGGCTGCTTTTCATTAAAAATCCCTGCCACTTGACTCGCTCAAATTAAATATGAACTTCAATTTATTTCGCTTTAGGATTTGGGTCAACTTTTGTCGCCGTCTTCTTGATGCTGCTGCTGATGTAGCCCGTAGTTTTGCCCTGCCTCCGATTTATTTTACCAGATGTTGCTTGGCGCCTGACTCACGCGCTGGCCTGACTTTTGGTTCTGGAAGTATATTTTTTCCTCTGATTTCATTAAATAAATGAGCATCATTTCTCAAATGCGTCACTCTTGGGCTTTGGCTTTAGAAACGCAAAATGCTTAGCTGTGTGTGAATAGAATTTTTCCGACTAAGCTTCTGAAGAATTGGCGCATGTTGGATATAATTTTAAATGAATGTCTGACATATTTCAAAATTGAATGATAAGAAAACTAATTACAAGTATATGAGAATTTTAAATTAGTGCGGTTGATAAGGCGAACTCCAAATGCTTATTTTCAGCTATAAAAGCATGGCAGTTTTTACCATTTGGATCATAAGTTTGACTCCAGAGCCAACCAAGCGACATGAAGTTTTTAATACTTGGCCTACTTTTTGTAGGCTACGCTGCGGCCTCAGCTCTGGAGTGGACAGATCCCCTTGCTCGCATTGTTGCAGGCCAGTTTATAGACATAGAGATAGTACCTTGGCAAGTGTCTTTACAAGCAAATAACGAACATGTGTGCGGTGGTGTTATCTTTGACAAAGATATTGTCGTAACTGCGGCACATTGCGTATTTCAAAAACGAAGATCAAGCTTAACGATTCGGGCCGGTTCGAGCAACTCGTCCTCCGGAGGGCAAGTAGTAGCCGTGGCTGACATTGTAATACATGAGAACTGCAGTCCAACATTTTTTAAAAACGACATATCTGTCTTACTTTTAAAAAATAATTTGGAATTCAATAAGGCTGTTAAATCGATCGAATTTGCAAACGAAAGTCCTGTCGATGGCGCCACAGCGCTAGTTTCTGGTTGGGGCGTCATCGAAGAGTGTCTGCAATGTTCTTCCAATATTTTGAAAGGCAGTACAATGAAAATTATTGGGCGTAACGAATGCATCTCAAATAAGTACCACTATGGCGATTTCGTCGCACCTGATTGCATTTGTGCCTATACCCGAGGTGAGGGTCCTAGTGGTAGGGATTCTGGAGGACCACTTGTTTCCAATGGCAAACTTGTTGGGCTTGTGTACTGGGGAATTGGCAGCGGTCGGATTGGCTATCCGACTGTTTTTACAGATGTGGCTGTACATCACAAGTGGATTTTAAATACAGTCGCTAAGCTAAGAAAACGGAATCCTAAACAAATTAGTTAAAATAATTAATATTTCAATGTTAATATGAAAATGTTAATAAATTTGAAATATTGAACATCTCTTTTGTCTGCATATAATCTTATCTACACTCCATTGATTCCTAATAATTTTTGTTTTCCCAACTCATTGGTTGGTTACAAGGCACACCTAATGAAAGCTCTTAAGCCAATCTGCACTTTCCCAGTCCATAAGAATTGATCAACATCGCAGTTTTCACACCATCAAACAAATCAAATTGAACAAGTTGTGACTGTTAGAGATGGGGTTGGGGAAGAGCGGTAAGCAGTGTCTGAGCCTTCAATTCGACCAACTTGAAAGCACAAATGCCGACCAACAAATGATGTTTAAGCATGTTGTTGCTGGTGTTGTTGTTGCTGTTATGTTTGCGAGTTGGATTTAAATTCGATTTTGGACGCAAGATAAAACGCGCGACAGAGATTTACTGAATGTAACGAGCGAAATTCGCAGCGAGTTATTCAAAGCACGTCCCCGGGCAAGTTTTTGCCATGACGCGAACGTGTCGCTGTCAACTGTGCAGCGCCACAAGCAGAGGCAGCCATAGAGGCAGCAACAGAGACAGGAAGAGAAGAGGCGACAGCAGCGGCAGGCATGCAACACGAACAGCATTTTTTATTTAATTCTGTGCCCCAATTAAGTTGGCAGCCCACAGACAGCAGCGACAATTGAAATATGCTTGGCCATTAAAAGCATTTGGGCAGTTATGGCTAAGCATTACTTCGGCAGCTCTCGCCGACCGCGCAAACCCTTTTAACCGCACTAACCGCAAAAGCCATAAAAGCAAAGGTTTTCACTCTACTGCACTCTATTTCGCTCTCTGCGCTTGTCTGCGCCTGCCAGTCTCAGATGCCAAATTGCTGACAAACCGCAAAACAATTTTGTAAAAAGATGAAATACTCATCAGCCAAAAGACGTAAAACAAACGTGCAGGTACAACAAAAGGCAAGTTAAAGCGCAGGATAATTTGTCTAAATTGCAGCATTGAAAATGAATTAATTAAATAAATTTACGAGCACCAATCGAATGCGATTCCGCTCTCCCCGGCGCTCCTCACTTAATCCCACGGGTGGCAGGCAACGGCAGCCTGAAATTAATCGTCTGTAAAATGAAGTCGCGTGAACCGCACACACAAACACACATATACACACACACACACACTGATGAGCATAATAACTATGGCACAAAACCCAATGACAAGTAAACGACGAAAAATTGCAATCAATACGAGGCAGCACAAAAAAAAATATGAGAGGAAAACAAGAAAAACGGTTTAAATAATGGGGTTTAATACAGCAACGTCTGCTTGTGGTTTTTGTTCGTTGTTGTTGTTGCTGCTGCAGTTGACAATAAATATATATGTATATGTGTACATATGTTGGCACACACATATAGTCTGTGTGTGTATGTACATAAAAGATATTGTATCTTTTGATACTTATAGCGATGTATCTGCTGGGTGCATTAAAAGTAACGCTTGATTGAGTTTTCGGTGGCTGCCTGATGCTTGTTAATGGCTTTATATAGACAAGCTGAGCTTGTAACAGACTTGTGTACACATACGAGTACGTATATACATATATGTTGGTACATTGCTCTTTTATGTACAAAGCGAAATATGGTTGCAATTATTTCATTCTTCTATATGATTCAATATAGTAGTTCAACTTGTACTAAAAATATTGTTTGACTCACAACTTTTTAAAAAATTTATTTCTGACAAATATCTTTCAATATCATAAACATAAAACATAACATGAAAATATACGGGATATACATCCAGATATTAAAAAGAAAAACAATAGAAACAAAAAAACTTTAAAATTAAATAGCAATACAATAACTTGTAAAAAAGTAAGGATTTTAAAGAGCAACAAACAACAATCTTATGAAATTAAGTATGCATGATAAAATCGAACTGACAGAGCTCCCATGGCCAAAGAGATGGCTCAATTGACATAGAACATTGTAAATATATATCATTACTTATTCATAAATATGTCTGCTGATATTTGAACAAAAATTGTTAATACGACCCATATGATGTCCGTAAATTAAACCACCAACTATCCAAAACTTGAATGCATTATGTCAGATAATCATAAACAGAATGATAAAATATGTATTTCCAAAATGATGGATTCATTCGCAATAAAGGCATTTATTGTAATAAAGTTCAGATGATAGCCAAAAGTTGTAAAATATTTACATATGTACTTTCAAAGAAATGGCATCCTACTTTTTGAAACTTACCACCTAAGTCTTTGAAGTACCGCTATGTTTGCGTATGTGGTTAAAATAAATGTTTCCATCGTGAAGAAAAGTGCAACAAATTACAGGTGTGATCGTCTTAGGAATACTATTACATTCCCCCCTCACCATATCTCTATTGGTTTATAATGTAGCACAGCTGTTAATCTTTTCAAATCAACACAATTTTCACTGTTATCATTTATATCTATAATCTAGTTTTACAGTTTCCACTTCAGTTAATAAATTTCAATTTTCTTTTTTTTTATTAACTTCCAATACACCTGGCCTAGCTATTGATGAAGAATTTTCTCAGCTCTACTTATGTTTGTAGCACTTGAAACAAATCGATTCTCGTATTATGGTTCGTAAAGCGCCCCCCTGCCAGGCAATATAGCCATTCTCGAAATGACAAATCTACCCTAGAATGTATAGAATTTATTAATATTTATTAATGTAGGCAAACTCGAAGCTAAATGAAACACACACAGTGCGTTGATAATTAATTAAATCAATAATCGCTGGCTAGCCTAACCCCCCGATAGGCGTACAACAAAAGAGCAACCAGTTGAGCAGCGAGCCAGAAAGCCTAGAAATAAATTTAAAATCCATGTGGACATAATCAAGCGAGAATTCCACAAACAATAAAACAACAACACCACACGAAAAAGGGCCCAAGACACACGCTGTGTGAAAAACGCAATGAGACAGGTAGAAAAGTCGATGGTTGGTTGATCAGTCGCTTGGCTGGCGATTTGGTTGCTCGGGTGAGTCCAAAAACTCAGTCAACGTTGAAGACGAGACGACAAATTAAGAGCAGGCGGGCTAGTGGTTAGTGGTTACTGGTTACTGGTTAATGGCAGGTAGATGCGGTGCAGAAGAGAACTGCTAATGTTGCGTGCGACATAATCCTGTTAGAAACGCGCAAATGTGAGCTCTGGACTGGGACTGGCAGACCACGCCGGCGGGCGCAAGAGGCGTATGCGTAATGCTCTGCCAGACTTTTGCATGTGACAACATAATTTGTGGACATGTCTGTGTTTGCCTCTGATTATTAATCATTTTTTGAAAGGTTTTGCGGCCATTTGCTGGGCATATTAAATGAGGTTTATTTAGGCAAATTAACAACAACAACAACAGCAGCAACAGCGGTAACAACAACGAAAGCGGCATCAAACAATCGTCAATAACTTGGGCTGGGCGCATTCCTTTAGCCGCTGTCGCGCCATAATGGCTAATAATGGCTTTTTAGCTGCTTATATTTGACATTTTATGGCCATTTAATTTGTTAGCACACTAAAATTTAAATATTAAACATAGAAATTTTAACCGCAATTGATGACACACACGCCTCGCCATATTTGTCGCCATCGTTCGTTCGTTCGTTTGTTCATTCTGTCGTTCAGTCGTTCAGTCGTTCGTCTCATGTCAAATGTCAGCACAGTTGTCTGAATTTATAGCACTTTAAGTGCCATAAAATACTAGCATATCGCTCTCCTTGTAACTCTTGGATTGAGTTGTAAGCGTGCTGCTGCTGCTGCATAGTTCACCACATGTGTGCGGATATCTTGCTGTGACATTTATGGCCCCAGTCGCACACCCCAATTATTTTCAAAAGTAACGCCCACGCGACTAAACTAAACTAAAGCGCAAAGTTTTTGGGAGACTCGCACGACACGCCAAGCAGCGAAAGGCAGCAGATATGTATATGTATGTATGATTATAGCAGAGCTATAGTCCCGACCCTGTCGCTCGATTGCCTGCCACTACATATAAATTATCTTTAATGACAAGTGCACTAAACTAAATAAATTGTTGCCAGCTTAATAACATAATTTCCTCAACAAGTGGGCGTGGGCTTAGTTGAGCGTATTTTAAAGTATAAACGATTTATGTCTGAGGATTTGGAAAGTGGCAGAAAATTTGTACGACAAATCCGAAAGTGGGCGAGAAGAGTAAAATGCAAGCTTTCATTAAGAAAACGGTTAATACTGCAAAAATATTGAAAAATAAATGGTGTTTGCGTAGTGGCGGAACTAAATGGAACTAAAAATGGTTCTCTATATCAAATCTTTAATAGAATAGATTCCCTCATAGAGTAAATATATTGCTTCAAAACTTGTACAACTGTCAGAATGGGAATGTTTTGCATTTTGCAGTGAATTGATAATGAAAGAATAAACATACCCTTAAAGAAGTACAAATGACGAATTAATTATAAAAAATAAATAATAATAATAATAAAATGTAAGTGGAAGTATTACGATTCATTTCACAAAATATAATTTGAAGTGAAATTGAAAAGGGAATGTGAAAAATTATAAAAGTTATGTCGGAATGTGTGTAACTTCTTATCTGTGAGGCCAAAGAAATAACTTCTTAATGGTGATTTGGGTTAGATGGACAACTAAATAACATACACTAACTAGTAGTGTATAGTTATATGCCTTTATAAGACTTTCATTCGGAATGATGACCAATTAGTTATTTAGTTATTATTATTAGTTTTCCGGGGCCGGGCATAGTTCAACGAGCTAGCAGGAATCCCACAATGTGATTTCGTTCGAATCACGCTGCAACCATCATGACAAGAAGCAAGATTACAAAATGTCAAAGTTATCATAAAATTTAATAATAGGTTCAACATAGTACAGATCTTAAATAAAGAGTAAAGATTTTAAAAAAGCAAACAATTATTATTTTTTCTCATTTCCCACTGCAGTTTTCTTTGCTTGTATCATAGGGAAGTCAATTCTGCAAACAAATTAAATGAATTTTTTGTTCACGTAATTGCAATTTTGACTTTA